AGATAAAAAGATATTCGAACTTCTCCTCTTTGGATTGGTGCAAACCTCAGGTCGCTAACTGTTGTCATTGCCGAATGATTCGGATTATTACATAATCCTCCTTTATTCTGACATGGACATTAGTTTTCAAGATTGTGAGCTAGAAAACTTTAAAAGATAGTAAAGTCAATATCATTTCGAAGCTTTTAAAATTCTAAAAATTCTTATAATTAATAATTATAAACAAAAATAGAAGACTCGAAGTCTTCTATTGCTTAATGAAGTTTATTTTAATCGTTGATTGTGTAGCATGTAGTACGAATAAAATATTCAATTCATATAACAAGGATGAATTACGTTAATGAATATTTTAATAAGAATTTCTTTATGAAAAATATTAAGATACAATATTTAAGAAAGAAATTTGAAGGATAATTTTTAAAATATATATATTACGTAAATTGGGAAATGGACATTTGCTTGTTAATGCATTCTATACTAAGATTTCATAGATGAACTACGATGGCTATATTTCTAAACAAGTGGATATAGTAGTTTTCACTTTCCAGAAGTTATTTTTCTTTTTTTAATAATGCCATTTTAAAGAGCATAAAATTCTGAACAAAATGAAGGATCGTCGTATTTTCTGCGACTTTTCCTTGAAAAGTTAAAACTACCACAAAAACCAACAAAAGAGATTTTTTTTTTTAGTCGACCTTTTGATAAAATTCGTCGTTTTATATCTTTTGTGACACTTTGAACTTTCTTAGAGAAGGTCGTAGAAAATGCAGCGATCTCTCATTTTCTTCAGAATTTTGTGCTCTTTAAAATGATAAGCTTTTGATACTTGAAAACTATCGTGTGTGGCTTTTGAGAAATTTTGCCATCATAGCTTATCTATGAAATCATGGTATAGAATCAGGATTCTCAATCGAGGAAGAAACATGGCCAAAGCTTCCTCTTCCTCGTAAAATGTTCGAATTTCTGTCAATTTTTTTACAGCTTTGTGGTAACTTAGATAGAAGCCGGATTTTTAAAATATCACTAGCCTTCTTCTAGCAGAGAGTGAAATAAAAAATAAACAGATAATTTCGTTGCGAGGGAATAGGTTTGAGGAAAGAACAATCTGATGGCAGGTTGTCTATTGTGGAAAAGATCAGACCACGGTGGATTTCGTTCTTCTCCTCAGTCATCACTTCTAGTACTTCAAGAATGAAATGTACTTTCTACCGAATCTTTAACCCGTCCTATTCATAAAAAATATCAACAACTTAGAAGAAAATCAAGGAATTATGTCAGTTGCTATATTAAAACTCCTTTAAAAGACGTACATTTGTGAATACACAATGGTTATTCATTAATATTATTGATCGGAGAAGCAACACAAAAATTCTTTAGAAATGTAAATACTCTAGAAAATATACATGTCACAAACGATTAGAACATAATTGAAGAGAAAAATCCACATCGCCATCCTTCGCAAGCTAGTATTCGCTAGTGGCGTATCCAGGAGTTTTCAGTATGTTGGATTTCACCTTCAGAGCATGGGATCAAGATGAAACTTATAGAGGTATGATATGAGACCCAAATGATGATTTTTTATCAAAAGATTTTTGTAATAGGGGTTTGCGAAAAAAATTAGCATTTTCCTGAGACCCTTCAAGATTTTTCTTTTACTATTTGTAGTATTCTAGTTTTTAGAATTTAATAGTAAGCTACATCGAAATTCATCGACAGATTTCAAATTTCAGCTAAAAATATGCATCCGTTCACAAGTTACAATGTTTTGAATTTTTTCTAAAATTTTGACAGCATGCAGCAAATTTTAAAAACATTGTAACTCGGTAACGAATGCATATTTTTAGCTGAAATTTGAAATCTGTCGATGAATTTCGATGTAGCTTACTATTAAATTCTAAAAGCTAGAATACTACAAATAGTAAAAGAAAAATCTTGAGGGGGCTCAGGAAAATGCTAATTTTTTTCGCAAACCCCTATTACAAAAAACTTTTGATAAAAAATCATCATTTGGGTCCCATATCATACCTCTATAAGTTTCATCTTGATCCCATGCTCTGAAGGTGAAATCCAACATACTGAAAAATCCTGGATACGCCACCAATTCGAATGGTGTGTTATCTAGTGTGAGGGCAGAGGGAGCATTGTCCTTTCGAAGAGTTTGGTTATTGTACTACATACTATGTGTCTGTGCTTCCAACAATAGGCGTCCGTCCTCTCGGAGCTTTAAATCGTTTCTTCGGAAGAGAAAATTTGGATAAAATACTGTATTCCAGTGAGCAACTATCTTCTACTTATGTAAATTGTATCGTATCGAAAGAAAAATAAAACCTTGGCGCATTTATTCATAGCAGTTCGTTGACATTTTAAATCATTGTTTTGATGTTATTTAGATTTGATCTTGTGGCTTAACTTTGAGTTGTCGTTTTCTTTATTTTCGATTTAAAATATTGTCTTGACTTATTTTAACTATTAACAATAATAAATGATGAAAAAAGAAAAAAAAAAAATCAAATCGTTCGATGACCTTTTCATTCAAAAACAATATTAGATCACGTCTATTTTATTTTAAACACATATATATGAGAATGTTAAAAAAAAAGTTTAAAATTATGGAAGGTCAATGGATATAAAACGTCTTACATATTATGTTTTCAACACTTGAAAATATGTCGGATAAACATTTTTGTTTTTTTTCATCATCAACATAACTTGAGTGTCAAAGGTTCAAGCCTATGATTTAGGTGTGACTTCTACATATATTTTGTTCTTAGGTCTTGTAATTCATGAAGCAAAAAAAAGAACAACAATGTTCTGTCACGTACATAATTAATCTCAAAATAATATCGCAACAGAAATTAATCGGCATATAAATGACGCGTTTCTAACCACAAGTAACCAACATTTTGATTCTTCTTTTTTTCTTTTCTTTTTTTATTAGTCTTTCTATTATTATTTCAAACAATATTCAACAGACTTTCAAAAAACAACATGCATATTAGTCTAGTACTTTTATTCTGTTTTTCTATTGTTGTGGTCAATTCAACTACAACAAATCGTCGTGTTGTAGTTAATAATGGACGTCGTACAAAAGCACCAATGAAACAATCAGCTTATACTTATTTACGTTTTGTTCGTGGTACTAAAACATGTTCTAATGGAATATGTCCATTTTGGGAACGACATGGTCGTTCATTTGTATCACTTCGATGTTATGCAAAACAATATCGAGAATGTACATGTCTTCATCGTATGTGTTTTAGTTCATGTATGTTTACACGTAAAGTTTGTAATGACGAAATGGTTCAATGTTTAAAACAAATATGTCCACGATGTATGCCAGCATCAGCACAAGCAATGTGTTCAATTTATGATTCAGTAGCTCAACAAGTTGCTGAAGCACTTTCAGTCTTTGCTTGTTATCCATGTTGTCCTGTTATTCAGAATACGAATAATTCTACTAGTAATTTTACTTAAGAAATTTATTTTTTATTTTTTTGTTTTTATAGATGGATTAGCTGCTGCACCAATAACAACAGCTCGTAAGTGATCATTTGATTTTTGTTTTTTAGTCTCTAACATTTTTCTTACAATGTAATATTTTGTTTATTGAATAGCACTTACAAATAATATTGGAATAACAACAACACCAGCAATTGGAAATAATGGATTAGGTTAGTTAAACATTCAAATTTTTTTTGTTTTAATCTTATGCACTTCTTCTATTTTATTTTTGTGAATAGGTATGTAAAATAACAAGTTATAAATTTTATTTATACTTTACAATATAGGAGTTTCTCAAAATGCTGCTAATCGACCAACAAATGGTAATAGATAAATGTAATAATTTGTTAAGAAAAAAAAAGTCTTAATATTATTTTCAGGTGTCAATCAATCAAACAATGGAGGTCTGGGTAATACAAATGGTAAAGATATTTTACTTTATTATATATAAATAAACATTTATTTTATTTAAAGTTCAAGGAAATGCCACACCTCGCCCGAATGTTTCTCCTAATAATGGTTTGGTAAGTTCTAACAATGGAAATGGTGCTAATCTAGGTTCGCAAGTACGACGTCAAACAATAAAACGTGTAGTTACAATTCGTCGAAAACCAACTGTTGCACCTCGACCTGCTACTGTCCGTGGTAGTAACGTCAAAAATAATGTTCGTAATACTGTTTGAGTTCAAAAATCACAAACAACAAAACAATCGTATTAAAAATTAACTTTGCACGATACATACATGCAAACATATATTTTTCTTTTCTTCTTCTTCTTCTTCTTCTGAATAAAATAATTTTTTTGTCCAATTTAAAATATTTATCTTTTTATTTAATTCTTTTCTTATTGTTTCATACATATATACATGCATTAACATTTTCTTATAAAAATAAAAATTCAATGAAGCGTTAAGGCAATAGTGAATATATCCATGCGTTCAAACATCATTCATTTTTCCAATTTATTTCGTTTTTTTTTTGTCTAACCTTGCACAAATTTGTTGCACCTACACAACCAGTTGTGCATGCATCGTGTATATATTATTAATCGTGTAATGTTGTTTCGTTATTTCTGATACACGAAAATGTCAAAGTCATGGTTTTACTTTGTAAATATGTCATTACAATCAACAGAAATTACCATTATTGAGCTGTTTGCTGACGTGTGACGTGTTCTCTTCTTGTCTTTTTTTGAGTATTGTACAATTCGTCATGTCTTTTTTACACTTTCCTACTTCTCTCATGCATTCTGTAGTATGTATACAATGTAGACATAGATACGCGGCAGAATGATTGCCTTCAGTCAATCAAGTAGCAATGAGAAAGAAAGAGAGAGAGAGATATATATACATTGGAAAGACAGTAAAAAAAAAACAGAAAAAAAATTAAAATATTCTTAAAGAAGCTCATCAAGATAGTGAAAAAGGCTCTTTTGTATTTCGTCTTTTTTTTTTCATGTTATTATAGAAAAGTAAGAGACCGCCTGCTAATCTGCGGATATGCTTCAAGCTCCAGGCGGTGGATATACAGGACCACGCGGACGTGCGTAAACGAAAAATATCTATATATAGTTTCTAATTGAAATATTTCAATTATCTTATTTTCTATAGAATATGTGCCTGGTGCTGGTGGATCTCGTCAAATTTATCGTTCATCTTATATTCGACCATTAGGTGATCGTTATGGACCTCGACAAATACTACCACCAATAACACCAGTTGGTGCAGGACCCGGTGGTACTGGCGCTCTTGCAGGTATTCTTGGACCTATTGGGGGTCTTACTGGGTGTTTATGTTGTCTTAATACTATAAGCATATGGGGTCTATTTATTACGGCTATCCCATTGACTGTGTTTATCGGTAAGTTCTTTCAATATATATATTGTTTTCTTCTTTTTCTAGAATTAATTTTTCTTCAAGGTCAATGGTTACGTGATTATAGGAGCCGTAATGGACTAAATGGTGCCGATGAACTTGTTGTACCACATATGCTTCTTTTATTAGTACTCGTATGTTCGTTTTTGTTCACGTACATGCGTCGTTCATAGATAAATTAAACGACGACTTAGTCGTTTTTTCGTATTTATGATGTTATATCTTTAATATAACAAAATGGTTTCAAATTTCTTTTTTTTATTTTTGTTTATACTTATTTCTTTTACAACACAACGAATTTTTTTTTGTTGTCTACTTATTGATAAAAAACCATGGAACTCGTACGCGTGATATGCATCATTGAATTTCTTTTTTTTTTTCTAAAACCGTAAAGAAAAACATGGTAAACGACAATGATGATGACGACGACGACAACAACAATTTTAATTCATATGTAATCGAAAATTACAAAACGTGATCATGTTCAATATTTCGTTTTATTTATCTAATATTTTTCTATTTCCTTTTTTATCTTCATACATTCAAATAAAAATTCGGACGCTATCAATAAATTGAAAGTATGCAATAAGAAAACACTAAATGATATATTATATACTTAATATTATTATTATTATTATTATTAACTAAATGATCTTGAATTGATGATAATATAGTTAGACTAGATTAAAAAGTACAAATCTTAAATTAATGTCCATTTCAAATTAAAAGAAGGGTAGTTGTTTTTTGAATAACTTTTGATAGGAATGACATGAAGACCTTCGGTTTTCACCATTCGAAAGAGGAGATGAAACTGCGCTGGACTATATAGATCGGATTTTTCTGAGATGGTTTCCTAAGACCTCCAGTCAACTTTATCGAAAACAAAATATTGAGTCGTGTGAAAGTTTTGTAAACTTAATTTTAAGGAGTGCATCAGGACATCCAACAAAAGTTCTATAAACTGTACAAGTCTGACGTCGATAATTTCAATCAATCGTGAGTTATAGATATTTTACTGAGTTTTTTCACAAAAAAAAACGACTTTTTTTCGTAGTTTTTGATGAGAAATGTGTGTTTTCAACCTACGAAATAGCACATTTTTTTTGAAAAACCTGACTGAAGGTTTGAAAAAACCTATTCAGAAAAATCTGATCTGTACAGTTCGATACAGTTTCATCTCCTCTTTCGAATGGTGAAAATCACAGATTTTCATCTCATTCCTATTAAAAGTTATTCAAAAAACAACCGACCTTCTTTTAATTTGAAATGGATATTAGTTTGTTTGTTTTTAACAATACTTCTACCATTGTTTTTCTTTTCTTCTTTCTCACCATTCAACTTTCTAACATATTTGTCATACATTTCTTTTTTGTCATGCATAGTTTCCCACATCATATTCTCTTCTTTCATTTAGGTGATATCAATATGTAAATGTCCTTTTTTTTTTGGTTAGGTTGTAATGGTATATATACACGGTTGAATAGACACATAAATGAAGAAAAAAAAGCTTCATCTTTGACTATTTTTAGGAACCACTTACTAAGGTAGGTGTATACCTTGAGTCGATAGATATGACTGACATAAAAAAAAAACCGAGAGAAAAAAGTATATGTATGTAAGAGAGAGAGAAACCTGTATTACCGAGCTCTATATGAGTATATTCAGAGAGAGTAGAAAAATTTTCTTCTGTCTCTTTCTTCACCTCTTTTTTTGTTGTCTACTATCTAAGCATGTGAATATTCATTTCCATTCGTACGATAGAAAAAAAAAGAAGAAATATAGAGATATAAAATTTGACCATTAGAGATTAATAATATTTTTTTCTTTATTTTTGTCTCTTGTAGACAAACGAGTGTGTGAATAAACTAAATACTCATCAATGGCAAGTTCTTTAGGTGCTGTACTTGGTCCAATAGGTGCTCTTGCAGCATGTTCCTGCTGTTTAATTGTTACTGCTATTTGGGGTCTGTTTGCTACCATGATTGCATTAGCTGTATATACAAGTAAAAAACCGAAATTTTTTTTTTGTTTTCTTTTTCTTTTGTGATTTTGTAGGAGGATGGGCTGATGCCGTCAGACAAGTCAACGGCTTAGGTAGTGGAGCTGAACAGATATTTTATAGTCATGCTCTTCTTATTATTGTTCTTTGCGTATATGGTTACCTTGGAATTCGGCGAGCAATTTGCTCAGCCAATTAAATTATAATACACATACATATTTCATATATATATATAATTGTCGAAAGTGAATACAAATGTGATATCTTATTATAATAATAATGTTAACAATATAAACCATCACTACGATTATAAACAGTAAATAGTGATGATGATGATGATGATGATGATGTGCTTGTTTTTTTTTCCTTTTTCATTAAATTCATAGACTATTGTGTAAAAAAAAGCAAGAAAAACATTTATCATTAATACATTTTTGCTTTTTTTTCTTGTACACGAAAATAAATATTCATAATGAAGGAGAATTGCTATTTTGAAGAATACGATTATTTGTTAATACACTTATCATGAGCAATAGGATCAATCGCGACAACCTAAACCATACTCAAAATTTCAAACGAAATTTTGTTTTTTTTTGTTTGTCTGATGGATATTCCAAAGATGCGAAATTCTTTTTATTGATTATTTGTATTCGATGGCTAACATGTCCCATACACATTTCTCAGACAATCTTGACGATGAATTATCGAATCAGAATGAACTGTGACTTTTTAAAGTATGACCCGCTGGGGGTCGGGCTTTAGTTGATGCTTGGGGACATTATTCTCGTTTATGAAGATATGTATCAAGAGGAAATCGAACGAAAAATTAAATATATATTAATCATTTATTTTTCTTGGTCATGTATTTTAATTTAAGTAGATATCAGTTTTGTTTTTCTTTAAAAAAAAATAGATAAAATATTTCTATTAGAATATTTTAGATTTCTATTAAAAAATAAAAATGATTGTTTCTTCGTAAGATAGTAATGAATATTATCGAGCTTTTTCTATTGTTTCTGATTTTATCATTATCTATTTCAAAATATTCATCATCAAGTTAAGGTATAAAACTGTGTTGTTTGAATGTTAAATTAACGATATTCTTTCTTGAAGTATTTTTTTTTAAATTTTTGACTATACAAAAAATATATTTATTTGAAATATGAAACAGCTGTAAAAATAAAGCATTCTTTATAAGAAAATACACTTAAAACAAAAGAGTAATTCTCAATCTATTACAAAATGTGCATGCTATTGGAATTTTACTATGAAATTAGAAATTTGCTAATAAATGTATTTCTAAATTCTAAACTTTTTTTGTCCAACCATAACAATATAAACATGATATCTAAAAACATCAAAATATTTATAACTATATATAGAATAATTGTATAAGTAATAAGAAAATGTTAATTTCTAGTTTTTGAATACATATCTAAAGATTCATCAAATATTATTTTTCTAATAATTCTAGAAGTACCGGAGCTAATCGACATTCAACCAATACTTTCACAGTACGATTTTCAAAGTATACTATTTAGTTTCTTTCATAAACAGCAACAAAAAAAAGCAAGTGATTCAGAATTTACTTGATGTCGATGCCAAATATCATAATTGTGGATACATATATTTAAAAATATTTTGAAATATCAAGATCTTATTAATTGCCGGATCGGGATCGAATGTGAGACCATACCGGGAATCCAACTCAATTGCAGGATGCTAGGGGAGTAGAAACTCTATAAGATAAGGATTAGAAAAATTTTTCTCTGCTAGAGTACAGAATACAAAGAAAAAAAAAAGCTTATCGTATATATATCTCTATTATCAGCATCTAAAATTAATTTACAAATAATTGAAAAACAACTTCTTCAGACAAAATAAAATATTCACACATTATTTATACAAACTATTACAATCAATAGACATTTTTAACAGTCTGTCTCTTCTTTTGTATAATATTTTCATAATGATACGAAAAATGAATCATTCGTCAAGTGTATTACTTTTATTGTCTTGTTCTTTATCATTAATAAAATTTTATACAAAAGAAGAAATAGACTGTTAAAAATACCTATTTACTATAATAGTGTGTATAAATAATATGTAAATGTAATAATATAAAAATATTTTATTTTTTGTCTGAAAAAGTTATTTTTTATCAAACTTTTTATTACACAAAGAATTTCAATATCTGTAATAATCCATGTGTTTTTTTTTTGATTTCTTATACAATCAAACTGAATCTCAATTCAACAAAAAAATTACAAAATGTTTGAACATTCCAATATATCACAATTCAGTTTATATAGATTATCATATTTAACATAAATATCCTTTTTTATTATATATATTCAATCTTGGTTTTTTTTTTCTCATTTCAAAATTTATATTTTTTCCTTCTCAATATAACGGGTAGTTACTTTTTGATATACACTAATAACTATTATTTTCTAATTAAAATACATAGACTTCTCATTTAAATCTTTCGTTTTTATCTTGTACAAAGCATCTCAAAAGTTCACTGTAAAATAAAAAATATGCATATCTTTTAATCAACTACAAATTTAAGTCCCATATATAGTTCTGAGACGGAAAATGTACAGTGAATTCGACACATAAATCTAAGACATAGACAGCATTAGATATAATTGTCAATGTTTTTTTTCGAAATTAATACAGTAGCATATCGACAACGCTTTGTGAACGACTTTCAAAAAATACAGAACAAAAAAAAAAAAATTTCGATGATGTTATAGAAAAAGGCATTGTTAATACAATAGTCGAGAAGCAATAGCACAATGAATTATGATTGATTATCTTCCAATGAAGATATAAAGAAGTATGTGACTTGCAAAAAAAACTTCAACATTCATTTTCTTTGCATACGATTGCTCTTATTTAAATGATAAATTTTCTGTATTTTTTTTTTTTTGCTTAAATATTTCGAAATGAATAGAATATTTATATATTTCAGATGATAGGTAATCATTTTACACATTTTTGCTATTAGGTCAAATTACATGAAATGAAATTTTAAAAAATATACTATCAAAAAAAAAAACAAAACATCTAAATCTAATGATGTAACTATGAAATTTAGTTTTCGTGAACGATTTTTTAACTATCTAAAGCAAGCATATTGATAGTCACTTTGAATATTTGTCATCAAAAGAATGATCGCGTGCGTGCATTATTTTGCATTTTCACTAATTATAGCTTCTGCTTATTAATGTATCGTATGTTTATGACGTGCTGATTTTTTTCTTTTCCGTTTTTCTTCTTCTTTTTTTTTTTTTGAAGATTTTTGCTTGAGGCAAATATCATCCGCATAAACAATAAATATATATACACACATACATCTGTACCATTTTAACCACACCCTCTTGTTTCCTCTTTAGTTTTAATGATACTCACTTTACCTTATTGCTATATACTTATTGTATATAAACACATACTCATCAATGACAAAAGTTATTAGATTCATTGATGATGAAATCAAATATTTAAGTGGATTAATCTAAATAAACTACAATGAAATTTATTTTACATTCTTAATGTAACAACATTGTGAAAATTGACAAGTAGATATTTTTTGTTTTTTGTACAGATATAATAAAATGACATGGATGTTTATATTGATCTCTATGGAATATAAACAAAATCGATTAATACACTAGTAACAATCAATGAAAGCAAAAAAATAAGTCGCATTCTTTTCTTTGAACTTGTCATTAGAGAATAGTAGAAGAACGATCGTACTAATTATCAGACTGACTATTCATTCATCTGGTTAACATATATTTGTCAAATCATGCTTCTCTATCAGAAAATATCTATTTTCATTCAGGTGTTCAATCTCATGTGAATTGATTGGTTGTGATTAAAGAAAATATTCATACAACCAGAAATAATAAAGAACGAAAGAACAAGTCTATAATTTTTTTTTTCTTTTTTGTTAAGATCAAATGTAAAAAAGAAAAACGAACGAGAGAGAGAGAGAGAACAAATTTGTGGCGCTTGATTGAGTCACTCATTCAATTGCTGTTCTTTATGCATTTTCAAGTCTCTTGAATTATCCATTATCGCGATAATACAGGCGGGCCTTTTTCTCGGTATCGAATACTTGAAAAATATGTATGTTTTTTGTCAGAACAATCTTTGTCATTATATGCTGCGAGCCAGTCTATGTATACATACATATATATATATATGTGTATGTATTGTTATATATAGGACGACAACGATTGAACGATGACGCCCCATTGAGCACAGACAGACTGATTGTGTAAGTAATGTACATAAGTACAAGTCTCATTCAACTTAAAAGAAAAGGTAAAAACGTTTATTTTGTCTTTTTCCCAGAAAGAATAATTCTTTTTTTTTGTTTTTTGTTGAACATTAAAACTTATTTTTACAAATACAAAGCTTTTTCTTGTGACTTTTTCTATACAACGCGTCTGTTTCTAACACTCATCATATGTCACGTTCTATCATATTGAATCAACAAATATATCGTGTGGTTCTATTTGTCTTAGTGTGTATATGTCATCCATTACAGACTAAGAGAAAGAATCAGGTTTCTTTTATGTTTGACACCGTTCAAATTATTGTTAAACAAATCTTTCGTTATTTTTTTTTACTTTAGTCTTTTTTTTAATCAAATTCAACTATCAATATTTTCTTGTACTATTAAGACTTCTACTTGAAATTTTTAATTAGATAGAATCAATGTTTTGTTTGATTTTATTTAGTTCGAATATTTTTTGAACTATATGTATCACTTAAAGTTCTTAAGTTGAATAGACTCTCTCTTTTTTTTTTAAATTGTTTTTAATCCGTTCTATGAATACTCGGAAATTGATTGATAGAGAGAGAGAGAGAGACAGAAAAAGCTCTCTTGAACTATTGATAGTATTGATCAATAAGAAAAATCTCAAGGTTTAAGTTTATTTGAGAATATATGAATTTAGTAATTCGTTATCTCCTCCTTTTCTTTTTATCTTAGTGAACAATAAGATTTACATGGAGATGATGATGATGATGATGAGGATGATGAATAACGTTTGGTTGAGATTTAGCAAGGAGGAAAAAGAAAAGAGAGAAAACGAAAGAAGTTACTTCCGTACCGCATTTTTAATTTCTTTTTATTGATTTGCATATGAGCAATAGTATGACAATACCGGTGAGCTTAGTCAC